AGCAAAAAAAAAAAAAAAAAAAGTTTATATATCAAGCATGTCTCCAAATCACTTCAACTATTTGTAACCCATTTACTTAGCAACAATACCTGTCTACAACACAATGAAAACTCTGAATGGAAATTGATCAAGGCCCAGTGACTAGATCAGTTCCTCTACCTCCATTTTCCTGTCATCTAATTCCTGGTTTTTAGCACATCTGCTAGAAAATGGACTAGTGGAAGGTAAAAGCCCAGGGAGAACCCAGGCTGATCTGAAGTCACTAGGAGAAAAGAAAGGATTCAGGCTGTAAGGAGGTGGAAGAATTGTCTATGAGCAGCCATACAGGTTCCACAGGGCCCAGACAAGTGAGTGTTGGCAGAAATCAAGAGGGGAGGGGGAGTGATGACCCAAGAAGGGGGGATGACATTTGATTCAAACTAACTATAATGGAACATGAGATGAGTCAATGTCTCAGGAACGGTCAGGACAGTTTTGGTAGGAGAAGGTCATATCAGGTGACTATACACACACAAAAAATCAATTGGCTTTGGTCACAAATCTTGCAAGAACATTCAAAAACTAAAAATGTGATATGTGCTTTCACAGGGCAAGACACATAATAGGTACATAATAGAATATATACACATTTTGGCTGATAGAATGAATGAGTGGATGAAAGACTGGAATTCCTTTCCGTTCCATCCAAAACCCAACTCAAGAAAATCACTTACACAGTTTTTGTGAGCTCTAGATGGTTGACCCTACTTTGTCTATCGGCCAATATTTTTAAACTGACACACAAAAAATTTGGATATTATTTTTAAGCTACAGCTGTCAACTGCCCCCCAACACACATATGTAAGGCTTTTGAATTAGTCCTTAGTTATGAGAGGAAAAATGCTGATGGGGAAAGAGAATTAAAAAGTAGTATTTTTAAGAAAATATTACTAAATGTCAAGTACAGGCCAGTCTTGATTTGGCTTTTTTCTGAAGGAAGGAGATCGTGGAAAGAATACATGTTTGGGGGGCCCTGGGTTAACAGTAGTACCCATAACTCAATATTTTCTAAGTTTTTTCCATGAATTGAACCATCTTATATTCACAACTGTCTTAATTGCCCCCAGGGGCAGAGCAGGCATCTTTAGAATAATTTATACCCTTAACCTCTATGTTACATTGGCTTTAACATGTGAATTTTGCCTCTTATTCGCTGATGACCTAAGTCAAGCCTCCTAACTTGTTTGCATCTATTTGCTCATTTGCAAAGTGGGAACAATCAGTTCAGTGGACTGTGAGGGCTAAGGAGAAACTGCCCAGCACATAATAGTTGCTCAATAAATGGCAGCTATTATTATTTTTTCTTATGGTCTCCTTTGACCTTCAGATATTTATAAACAGAGAATCTGAATTTCAAAAAAGTTAAACTCCTTAGTAAAGATCAGACAGCTAGAAAGTGGCAAAGCTAAAGTTCACATCCAAGTCTGCCTAATTCCAGTCTGTTTTTTAAATAACAAAATTGAGAGGAAGGTACAGAGAATTCCCACACCCTCCCTGCCCGCACACATGCATAGCCTCCCCCATTACCAACAGCCCTCACCACAGCAGCAGCTTTGTTACAGTTGATGAACTGAACAGGCAAGGTTTTTTCCAAATAATTCTGCTTAAAAAGTGATTTTCCATCTTAGCTTGAAGACAAAAAGATTCACAAGAGTAGAAGAGGCCAGCATTAATTAGCAAGAGGAAATTTTGCTTGAACAGATTTCCTCCTCCAGTTCTTTCCGATTTTGCCCACTTTCCCCCACCTTCATGTTGTTTTTCTGAAAATAAACCTCCTCTTTGAACGGCCCTTCCTTCCATTTTGCTGGCTGGTATAGTTCCTGGGATCGGTGAGGCAATTTTATGGAAGACATTTGCCTAATGACTAG